GAAAAGGGAGGGTGAACCCTCCAACCCAGGCAACAGAAGAAACACGGCCCGGGAGGCGAAGCCAAGCCAACCGTCCCGAGCACCAGTAGTAGTTTGGACGGACTATACGCCGTTAAACACCAGGCGGACTGAGATCTTGATGACGATCAAAGACGCCCCATACGTCAAGTGGCCACCTCGCCTAAAAGGGAATCCAAACGAGATAAACAAAAATCTGTACTGTAGTTTTCATAGAGATCACGGTCACAGTACCGAATAGTGTAATAATCTCCGGGACGAGATAGAGGGACTCATTCGTCGCGGATACTTGAGAAATTTTGTACAGCATAATAACAATAATAACAATAAGGCAGGTCGGCAAGGGGAGCACGGGAAGGACTCCCCTGAACCCAGTAGCAGACCAGCCAAAGTGTTGCCACAGCCTCCGGAAGAAAGGCCAGTTCGGGGAACCATCCATGTGATAGTGGGAGGTTTGGTGGTAGCAGGATGTACCTCGGCAGCAGCCTGGACGTCAGTTTGCGAGGCAGCCCGAGAAGAGCAGAACCCTCCCAAGAGGCCGAAGACAGAAGAACCGATCTTCTTCACTGAAGACGATGCGCGAGGTGTCCACTACCCCCACGATGATGCGCTCATCATAAAACTCAGGATCAACAACTTCGAAGTCAGGCGCGTACTTGTGGATTCGGGTAGTTCGGCGGACATCCTCTTCAAGTCGGCATTTGACCAGCTACAGTTGCGGAAAAGCAAGCTGAAGCCCGCAAGCACTCCTCTGGTGGGCTTCAACAGAGAGGAAGTTAGGCCTATCGGAAAGATAACAGTACCTGTGGAAGTCGGCACATGGCCTTGTGCGGTCAGACTCAACCACGATTTCCTGGTGGTCGCGACCCCCTCCCCACACAATGCCATAATAGGGCGGTCAATTACGCATATCCTGCGGACAGCGGTCTCCACGTACTATTTGGCAATGAAGTTCCCTACAGACCTCGGTGTGGGGGTAGTGCGGGGCGACCAGCTTGAGTCCCGCAAGTGTTATGTTGCTGCCCTGAAGGGAAAAACCAAGGCGGCCGACGACCTTGAACTAGAGCGGCCTACAGAGCAAGGCGAGGAACGAGCTTCGCCCACAGAGGAAACGGTCGCAGTCCCGACTTCGGCTACTGACCCAACTCGCACACTACAGATCGGTGCTTCCGTCAAGGAACCGCTATGAACCAAACTGGTGAGTTTCTTACTTCAAAATTTAGATATTTTTGTCTGGTCCGCGGCCGACATGCCCGGTATTGACCCCAGCCTTATAACTCGCAAACTTAATACTGACCCTGTAGTCAGACCCGTTAGACAGAAGAAACGCAACTTAGCCCCAGAACGCTGGAGGGCGGTCGACGAGAAGATCGAAAAGCTCCTCGCAGCAGGTTTCATAAGGGAAGTTCATTACCCGAGCTGGGTAGCCAACCCAGTGCTGGTGAAAAAGGCAAACAGCAAGTGGCGCATGTGCATCGACTACATCGACCTAAACCGAGCTTGCCCAAAAGATTGCTTCCCCCTCCCCAGAATTGACTGCCTAGTAGACGCGACCTCGGGACACGAGTTGCTAAGCTTCCTGGACGCCTACTTGGGCTACAACCAAATCAGGATGGATCGGACCGATGAGGAAAAAACCAGCTTCATAACCGAGTTCGGCCTGTACTGCTACAAGGTCATGCCCTTCGGATTAAAAAATGTCGGGGCGACCTTCCAAAGGCTTGTAAATAGTTTGTTTCGGCCCTTAATTGGCATGAAATTAGAATGTTATGTAGACGACATGGTAGTTAAGACGCAGTTTTCACATGAATTAATTCAAGACTTGGACTCTGTCTTCCAAATCCTGCGTCGATTTAGCATGAAACTGAACCCTAACAAATGTGTCTTCGGTGTCACCTCGGGCAAGCTCCTAGGGTACATTGTCAACCGGCGCGGTATTGAGGCCAACCCGGACAAGATAAAGGCCATCCTAGACATGAGACCACCCTGGAAAGTAAAAGAAGTTCAGAGGCTAAACGGCCGTATAGCCGCCCTAAGCCGCTTCATGTCCAAGTCAGCAGACCGCTGCCTGCCTTTCTTCAAAGCAGTCAAAGACTAAGGGTTCGAGTGGACC